GTTGGTCACTCAATCCATGACTGTTTATGGGACACTGCTGTGCACAAATTGGCTGCCGAGTTTCGCCCACAAGATACACCGTCAATTCACATTACAATATATTCTGCAAAGCGCTTTGAGACCTCTCAACGACATGATAAGGCACTATATCAAATGCAAGTATTATTATTAGTATCATTAAAGATCCCCCTGCTTCTCAGCAACATTCCTTGTCAAGATATTCAAACATGGACCAAATCATCAAAGCATACCCAAGAGTTTGTTTGCGTATTTAACCTTCCTTTTTCAAATGCTGTACTCAGAGCCTAAAGGAAAAACTAAGTCCAGAGAAAATTCTTTTTATTGGCAATATTTCAAAGATCATCAGGAAATTCCTTGGTCAACATTCCTCCCTCATCCAAAGTGAATCCCACAAAAATACATTTGGTTTAGCTTTGGGTCTAACTGACAGAACATCCCTGCCATCACCAGACTAAACTTAATAAAAACCTTGTGACTTCAAGGCTACTTTTAGCACTGATTATGCTGTGCATTTGGAATCCAAATGAGTCCTGTGTACACTTGTATATTTAAACACTCCCCCTGATAGCTGAGTTGTTAAAGCCACCATTTAGTGTGAAACTCAGCCACAGTGCCAGGAACAGCCAAACTTAATCCTGGATTTGTTGTGAGTTAGCGGATCTTGTCTGGAACATGGTCATTGCACCACGTGATACCTGCTAGAAGGTGTAGATGTAAATGTCATGTGAGGGCAGGTGGAGCTCATGGTGTAATGTCGACTGTTGAATTCCCCATGACATTCATTGTCTGCACTTAACAATATGAAGAGCGGGTGCTTTCTGCAAGAGTAATTAGCACAGAAACTGTACCCAGCAATACTCAAAATGCAAGTGAAAAGTTCAAAGATTGGGTAGTCAGGACTTTTGATCAGCACCTTCATTCTCAGAGAGAACTGGACAGCAAAAAAAAGGTCCATGCATTTGTGAAACAATGCATCCACCACAACTCCTATTATATATATCTAGTACAGTTAAAAGATACTAAAACTGAAGTTTCACAACACAAACAGTTTAATTGGAGTTCCTGCCACAACTAAATCTTTTTTTTAAGTGACTAATTTCTTGGCAACAGACTTACCTGTTGAACAGGAATTTATTTCAGCTTTGAATGAAAACCATAGTGTCTGCAGCAGTCTGGACTTTGAGGAAGGTTTAGGATTATAAACCACAACGTCACAGATGTTTTGCAGCCGATAGTGTAATAAGACACTAATTTTTTTTTAAATGTTGTTTGTTTCAAGAATAAATTAGATGGATTTCTGCTAGAAAACAATATCTGGGGATACAGTATATAGTTTGGGATACGATATATCAAGTTACTGTCAGGATGGTGGAAGGAGAACAACAACAACAAGATTCCATTTATAGAGCGCCTTTCACGTTGGGAGGACGTCCCAAAGTGCTGGACAGTTGGGTCAGGACCCGAGCAGGGGGGAAATGGTCAGGGTGAGGGGAGGGAGCGAGGAGGGGGGAAATGGTCAGGGTGAGGGGAGGGAAGGAGCGAGGAGGGGAGAAATGGTCAGGGTGAGGGGAGGGAAGGGAGGGAGCGAGGAGGGGGAAATGGTCAGGGTGAGGGGAGGGAAGGGAGGCAGCAAGGAGGGGGAAATGGTCAGGGTGAGGGGAGGGAAGGAGGGAGGGAGCGAGGAGGGGGAAATGGTCAGGGTGAGGGGAGGGAAGGGAGGGAGCGAGGAGGGGGTAGAGAGTCGAGAGGGGAGCTGAAGGCACGGTCAAAGAGAAAGGTCTTGAGACCGGCCTTGAAGGAGGAAAGGGAGGAGGCGGCGAAGGCACTGGGGGATAGAGTTCCAGAGCCTCGGGGCTGAGAGGCTGAAGGTCCGGCCACCGATGGTAGGGCGGTTGGGGCGGGGGATGTGGAGCAGACCGGAGCCAGAGGAACGGAGGGTACGGGCAGGTAGGTAGGGGGATAGTAGGTCGGAGAGGTAGGAGGGAGCGAGGCTGTGAATGGCCTTGTAGGTGAGGATGAGGATCTTGAATTCAATCCTCTGGGGGATGGGGAGCCAGTGGAGGTGAGCGAGGGTGGGAGTGATGTGGTCCCGAAGCCTGGTGCGGGACAGTACACGAGCTGCAGAGTTCTGAATGACCTGCAGTGTGAAGGGAAGTGCCGGGAAGGCCGGCGAGCAGAGAGTTCCCATAGTCCAGCCTTGAGGTGATGAAGGTGTGGACCAGAGTTTCAGCCGCGTGAGGGAGTGCCGTAGTCTGGCGTTGTTTCCGAGGTGATGGAAGGCGGTGCCAGTTGTGGCGCAGATATGAGGAAGAAAGGACAGCTCAGGGTCGAACGGAACCCCGAGGTTCCTGACTGGCTTTGAGAGGTGGAGAGTGCAGCCTTGGATGCTGATGCTGTCAGCGCCTGAGGTGCGGAGGCACTGACGTGAGCCAATCAGGAGGGCCTCAGTTTTACGCACGTTGAGCTGAAGAAAGTTGTATCACGTCCAGGACTCGATGTCGGACAGACAGCTGTCAGGACATCGGTGGTCGTGGAGTTGAGGGTAGCTGAGGAAAGGTAGAGTTCGGTGTCATCCGCATACATGTGGAAGTTAACCTCATGTCTGCAGATGATGTCACCACAGGAGGAGCATATAGAGGGTGAAGAGGAGGGGACCGAGGACAGAGCCCTGAGGGACACCGCACGGGACAGTGCGGGGGCCGGAGGAAAAGCCGTTTGTGGAAACAAAATGAAGACGGTGGGAGAACTAGATGAACCTTGGTCTTCTTTCGCTGAGCAAATTCTCAGTTTCTTAAACTCTATCGGACCAAAATCTCAGATTAAAATGGAAGCAAGAGAAACAAACTCAAACAGATTAGGTAACATTTTCAGAAAATGACATTTCAAAGCCCTCCAGGGTCTCGCTCCCCCCTACCCCTATCACTCCCACCCTCGCTTGCCTCCACTGGCTCCCCATCCCCCAGAGGATTGATTTCAAGATCCTCATCCTCACCTACAAGGCCATTCACGGCCTCGCTCCCTCCTACCTCTCTGACCTACTATCCCCCTACCTACCTGCCCGTACCCTCCGTTCCTCCGGCTCCGGTCTGCTCCACGTCCCCCGCCCCAAGCGCCCTACCATCGGTGGTCGGGCCTTCAGCCTCTCAGCCCCTAGGCTCTGGAACTCTATCCCCCAGTGCCTTCGCCTTGCTTCCTCCCTCTCCTCCTTCAAGGCCGGTCTCAAAACCTTTCTCTTTGACCGAGCCTTCAGCTCCCCTTTCAACTCTCTTCCCCCTCCTCGCTCCCTCCCTTCCCTCCCCTCACCCTGACCATTTCCCCCCTGCTCGGGTCATGACCCAACTGTGCAGCGCCTTGGGACGTCCTCCTGACGTGAAAGGCGCTTTATAAATGGAATCTTGTTGTTGTTGTTGTACCTTTGCGACCTCCTAACCCTCTAACATCCTGCTCACTCCCTTCGCTCAGCCTGCTTGACTTCCCCTGCCTCGCTCACCTTACCATTGGCGGGCGGGCCTTCAGCCACTCTGCCCCCACCTATCCCACAGTCCCTCCATCTCGCACCCCCCTTGGCCTCCTTCAAGACCCATCTTAAAGACCTTCTTCTTCGATCGTGCCTTCGATCACCCTCCTTCCCCCGCCCTCCACCCTCCCCAATCCTGACCCCCAGCTCGGGTCCAAAACACTGACTGTCCAGTGCCTTGGGGATACAGTATATAGTTTGGGACGTGAAAGGCACTATACAAATATAATTTTGTTGTTGTGGTTGTTGCTATTGAATGCAGGTAGTTTATAGTTTTTTTTTAAAGCCTTGCTCCCCACTTAGATATTGTCTCAAAAGATCTGCTTGTACAATATTAAAACGCATTACTACTCTAGACACTAAACCCAGTCATACTGTTTGTTCTGTTTGACACAACCTGTATATGCACACAACCTGTTGAATTATCGCCAGCTGCGACAAAATGAACCAAAAAGATGAGATGGAAGTAGGTCATTAAACCGAGCAACAATTGGAGATGAAGCAGAAAAACTGCAAATATGAAGTAAAACTAGGAAATGCTGTAAATGCTCAACAACTGAAAAAGTTGGGCCATGACCTTCATTTAGCTTTGCAATAAAGGTTGATGTTAAAGATTCTAATAAAGAGGTGTGATTCCCTCATCAGAACTCAATAAAAATCAATTCAAAGAAAAGAACATGGTCACAGAGTTGGAAATCTGCAGCAAAATGGGAATGATCCCACACTACTTAAGCAGACGTACAAAACAAATACAGTACTTTCATTCAGAGACGCAATTTGACACAATCCCTCCAACACTCAAAACCAAAAAAGGAAAGATGTAGGGCAGAGTAGCGAAAAAGTGGCAAAAAAGATTGATATGGGTGATCCAAAAATTTAATAGGAATGTTGTGTTTTTTGTCTAGTTGGATTCACAATTTGGTTCCATAGCTATAATACGTAATAATAATAACAATATATACATGCGTTATATATGAGGGTTCAGAGAAACACCAGCTGTTGAGATTTTTTTGGTCATATTCAATTTACAGAGTGGTATCCAATGCAGTGCAAACTCCTCCAATATCCATTGCTGAGATGCTTACTGGTATCATTCTATCCAATTCAGATGAGATATTAAATTGAGGTCCCACTGTGTTAGGTTAAAGATCCCATAGCATTATTCGAAAATAGAAGGGAGTTTCTCCTGGTGTCCTGGCCAACAATCCCCCGAATAAAATAGCTCACTCACTCCATGGCTGGTGGTGGGACATTGCTGTGTGCAAAGTGACTGCCGTGTTCGCCCACAAAATTCCCAATTAACAATCCACTTTACAGTATATCCTGTGAAACTCTTTGAGATGTCTCGGCAACGTGATAAAGGGCTATACCAAATGCAAGAATTATTATTATATATATACAATTATTATGAATTATATATATATTATTCAGGGATTCAGTTCCTAATGAAAATACTTCTTACCTTCCGAACACAGTGTGTTTCTTGTCCAGGTATTTGCAGGAACGGAATGTGATGAAGCTTTGGAAGAAAGAAGAAATCATTAGCAAATGGGCTTCCTGACATCCCTACTCCTTTTATTGCCCATTTTGGCAGTTTGCAAACTACAAAGCTGCTTTCAGCTCAGCTGAAACTGACAGTGAATGATACTCATCTTCTCAAGACATAAGGATGGAGTCAATCAAAGCACAGAAAAATAGGAATTTATTTCCAATGGGGGACCTATTCTTGGGTCTGCATATGATCTTGAGTTTGCCACTGGGCACTGAATTATACAGCACTGAAACAGGCCATTTGGCCCAACTAGTCTGTGACGGTGCTTATACTCTGCATTAACACCCAACCACCCTAACCCCCTCTCTCTATTCCCTCCAATACAACAACAACAAAATTACATTTGTAAAGCACCTTTCACGTTAGGAGGACGTCCCAAGCCGCTGGACAGACAGAGTTACGGACCCGAGCTCGGGGTTGGGGAGGGTGGGAAACAAGGAGATCGAAAGCATGGTCAAAGAGGAGGGTCTTGAGATGAGTCTTAAAGGTGGCAAGGGAGGGGGCAAGGCGGAGTGACTGCAGGGTGGAGTTCCAGAGGGTGGGGGCAGAGTGGCAGAAGGCCTGTCCACCAATAGTGGGGCGAGCAAGGCGGGGGACGTGAAGCAGGTTGGAGCACGCTGAGTGGAGGGAGTGAGCAGGATGGTAGGGGGTTAGGAAGTCGCAGAGGTTGGGAGGAGCAAGGTCCTGGAGGGCTTTGAAGGTGAGGACCAGGATCTTGAACTGTATCCTCTGTGTCATGGGAAGCCAGTGGAGTCGGGCGAGGATGGGGGTGATAGGGTCGCGGAGCCAAGTGCGTGAGAGGACCTATCCTCCTCGGTCACTCTTCTCCACAGCTCCCTCTCCTCCACTCTCGATTCCTTTGCTCCCTTCTCTTCCGAACCATCTCCTATTCATGTAAGTCACCATTGTACACCAGCCACCTCCGCTCCCTAAAAGCATAGGTTTGTGCCGCTGAAAGGACCTGGTTTAAATCAAACTTAACGGTCCATTGCCAGATCTGACTGGACTTTATCAAATCTTACTGCTCCGCCCTCGCCTCTGCTAAATCATCGTTATACTCCAAGACAATCTTGGAGGCCAAGGACTACTGCCCCATCTCCAACCTCCCTTTCCTCTCCAAGGTCCTGGAATGAGTTGTTGTTTCCCAGCTTCACTCCTTCCTCTCCCGCCACTACCTTCTCGAACCCCTCCAATCGCGTTTCCGTGCCACCCACAGCAGACACAGCCCTGGTCAAAAAGACAAATGACATTCTGTCCATGTGCGACCAAGGCTCCCTCTGCCTCCTCATCCTCCTTGACCTCTCTGCTGCCTTCGACACCGTCGACCACTCTGTCCTCATCCACCCCCTCTCCTCACCTCAACCTTCATGGCTCTGTCCTGCCTCTCACACCGCCTCCACTTCATTTCCACAAAGGGTTTCTCCTCCAGTCCCCGCATCATCTTGTGCGACGTTCCTCAGGGCTCTGTCCTTGGTCCCCTCCTCTTCAATATCTATATGTTCCCTCTTGGTGACATCATCCGCAGACATGGAGTCAACTTCCACATGTTTGCGGATGACACCCATCTGTACCTGTCTGCCTCTACCATTGACTCCAGGACCACTGCTTTCCTGATTGAATGCCTGTCAGACATCAAGTCCTGGATGAGAGCTAATGTTCTTCAGTTGAACGTCAATAAGACCGAGGCTCTCCTCACTGTCTCCCATCAGCACCTCCACATCTCAGGCACTGACAGCATCATCATCATCCATAGTTGCACATACTCTACCTTACTAAGCCAGTCTGGAACCTTGGTATCTTGTTTGGTCCTCAACTATCTCTTCTACCCTACACCTGTCCCATGACTTGCTCTGCGTTCCCCCACCTCTGCAACATCCCCAACTCCGCCAATGTCTCACACAGGCCACTGAAACCATCATACAAGTTTTCATTACATCAAAGCTTGACTATGCAAATGCCTTGCTTGTCGGCCTCCCTAACTCCTCCCTCCATAGGTTGCAGATAATCCAGATCTCTGCAGCCCGTGTCCTCTCCCACACCAGGCTCTGTAACCCTATCAATCCCATCCTCGCCCAACTCCACTGGCTTCCCATTGCACAGAGGATACAGTTCAAGATCCTGGTCCTCACCTTCAAAGCCCTCCATGGCCTTGCTCCCCCTTACCTCTGTGACCTCCTAAACCCCTACCATCCTGCTCGCTCCCTCCGCTCAGCAGGCTACAGCCTGCTTCACGTCCCTTGCCTCGCTCGCCCCATCATTGGCGTGCGGGCCTTCTGCCACTCTGCCCCCACCCTCTGGAACTCCATCCTGCAGTCCCTCCGCATTGCCCCCTCCCTTGCCTCCTTCAAGTCCCAACTCAAGACCCTCCTCTTCGACTGTGCTTTCAATCACCCTGCTTCCCCTCCTGCCCTCCACCCTCCCCGATCCCGACCCCCACCTCGGGTCCGAAATTCTGACTGTCCAGGGCCTTGGGACATCCTCCCGATGCGAAAGGCGCTATACAAATGTGTTTATTGAATCCCATCATAATTTTAAATACCTCTCTGAGGTTTCCTCCTCTGATCTCCAGAGAAAACAGCTCTAACAACTACAACCAATTATATTTGTATAGTGCTTTTCATGTCAGGAGGATGTCCCTAACCTGAAACCTAACTGTCTAGTCTTTCTAGATATCTGTATGCTCTTATCACTGGTAATTATCCTGGTAAATTTACTTTGCACTTCATCTAATATCTGCAATATCCTTCCTGAAGTAAGGTGGCCAGAACAGCATACAGAACTACAAATGTGATCTAACCAAGGTTTTATAAATAGAACATTAGAACAACAACAACTTGGATTTATACAGAGCCCTCCACGCCAGACGGCATCTCAGAGCTCTTCACAGTAACGGATCCCGGGGCCGAGCCAGGGGGAAGGGGGGGAAGGTGACCAAAGGCGCTGTCGAAAAGAAAGGTCTTCAGCACAGACCTGAAAGTAGGAAGAGAGGGGGTGAGGCGAAGGGAGTGAGGAAGGAAGTTCCAGAGCCTCGGGGCATAGAGGCTGAAGGCACGGCCGCCGAGGGTGGAGCGGAGGACTTGGGAGATAAGGAGGAGGCCAGACCCGGAGGAACAAAGGCAACAGGCACTGTTTTGAGGAAAGAGGTAAGGGGGTGCAGAGGAGTGGAGGGATTTGAAGACAAGGGTGAGGATCCCTTACTTTCTACCATCTATATTTATCTATATGAATGGAAATTGTTGTGTAGTAATAATCCTTGCATTTGATATATCGACTTATCACATCTTTGAGATGTCTCAAAGCGCTTCACAGAATGTACTGTAAAGTGATTCTTGTGTTTATCAAATTCTCTTTTCAAATCATATTTTGACAAAAATGTTTGATATACATGTTGGCTTGAGAGCTCTGGGACTCTCTTCTGTGTGAGGGGTGCGATATAAATGCAAGTTGTTGTTGTTGGTTTAGAACTACTGTTCTTTCCCAAAGGCCACTGTATAGTCACTTACAACTGGGACTTATTGGTGTTTGGCCCTGAGTTGGCCATGCTGAGGACACCTCGTCCTGTGTGTGAGAGATTGGGTTTGAATTCATCCTTGAATGGTTTTCCCCAGTACGATTCTCCACCTGAAAGCACACAAGTGAGAAACACATTGATATAATATAATAATAATCCTTGCACCTGTTATAGCATCTTATCACATCTTTGAGACGTCTCAAAGCGCTTGACATGCTATACTGTAAAGTGTAGTGACTATACAAAACCTATACAAATATTCAATTGGTTATCGTTTGATTCTTCAATTATAGCCATTTCACATCTCACATAATGACTGCTCTCCATACAGCCAAACTCAGTCACTGTGACCACAGAAGGAATATGGTGTATGGAGTTTGCCTCTAAACTGTGCTTCATTCCCTGCATCTTCTGCCCCCTCCTCCCAAGACCACACAGAAAGCACTGAATGTAAAACATCACCACTTCTGAAGGAGGAAAAGCTTTAGAAGTTCAGTACAGATGTTTGTTTTTGTCTCGAGCAGCTTGTACTTTTCCATGAGACAAAATAAGTCACTTAATCCTAAACAATGATTACTGTAAATGTGGTGTCCCACAGCATAACAGGAACTATTAAATACGCCAACAGTGGAGTGACGCTTTGCTCTTTCAAAAACAGCTTTTCAGAACATCCATCAGGGACTTTTTTTTGAAAAGTTTCAACACTCAATACAATAAAATAAGAGTTAGGGAAATGTACAGTCAATGTCATTGAATGGCTCCGTAATCAGAGCAACAAAAGCTATGTGCAAAAACAAACTTACAACAATGGGAAAATATTTCCCTTTTAGTTCCACAATGTCTGTAGAAATGACAGTCGTTGCCAGGATTGTATCATTTGCAAGAATCACATTCTTAACATACTCACCCATTCCTGTGGTATTATGTCTCTGTCACACACAAATAGGCTGTGAGCAGTCAGTCATCAATGTAAGAATCTACACTTTATCACCATCAAGGTGAATCTTACTCCCCAGGGAGGTTACACAAATTTATCCTTTAAAGTTTGTAAAACATCAGCTAAAGATTCATAACCTCAGAAGTTGCAATTAATAATGGGTACAGCTGATTATCAAAACCACGAGAGATAAATATTATCCATCAGCAAATTGCCCAGCACCAAACTCTTCAAGGCTGTTACTTGCATAAAAACATGGCTGAGGATCAAAGGCAACCTAATCTGTTATGATAACGGATCAACTTCAAGATCCTCACACTTGTGTTCAAATCCATTCCCTCCCTGGCACTTCTCTACCTCTTCGACCTTCTCACTCCAATCCACAACCTGGCACCTCCGCTCGACTGGCACCGGCCTCTTGCTTGTCCCTCGCAACCACTGCCCCACCATTGGAGGTCGCGCTTTCAGCTACTGCGCCCCAAAACTCTGAAACACTCTTCCCTCAATCCCTCCGCCTTGCCCCCTCTTTCCCCTTTTTCAAGTTCTGCGTGAAAACCATCCTCTTCGACTATGCTTACGGCCAACTCCCCCCCCCGGCTTGGAGTCAAGCTCCGCCACTGTCAACCGTTCTGCAACGCTACCCTGCGTGGAGGGTGCTATATAAAGTGCAAGTTGTTGTTGTTTGTGCTCAGAGCTAACTTTAAACAGTGCTTCTTTGATCTTTTCTGATGCGATTAGAATATGCTTATACCCTCTTGGTTACTGAAGATTTTATATCGTACATATTGCTGCCATTTCGTGTTGATAAGATGCACCATTAACATCACTGGTGGGACTGAGACAAGACACAGACAGAATAAACGGCCTTTTAGAAGACTTGTTTTTAGCCTTTGCCAAGTTAGCAGCGGAACTGATGTCAAGTGTGCTACAGTTGACCTACAAAGTGGAGAGAACCTCATGGAGGAATACTGCTATCCTGCCTCAGATCAACTAACACAGGATAGATAGCTCAAGGATTTGAACCCTTTCTGGTCTGTCTAGATCTGTACCACACATTAAGCCATCAGTTTTCAAGATACTTTTTCAGATACCAAAACAAGAAACTGTTGTTATTGGGAAATAACATTTTCTGACAATAGTTTCTTGTTTCTGGATAAGGAACACAAGTTGATGTTTTAAATAATTAGGACAGCACATTCTATGCAAAGTAGACTTCTGGCTTCCATACTGCAGATATGTTTGGATTCAAGATGCAGAACAGGCATGCTATGAACAAGACTAACCTAGCGCAACAACAATAACTTGCATTGATATTGTGTTCTTCACACAGGATCGTGTCTCTGTGTACTGGGATATATATATATTTTATGTGTCCTTGTTTAAAAGTTGAAACCAATTCATTCAAACCTGTAAAATATTGTAGACAATTTGGGGCAATTTGCTTTCACGAAAGCATGTTGTACTGGAGATTGTTCAGATAAGAAGAGAATAACAAGCGGGTTCAGAGAGGAACAAGAGGTGTTTCTGGAAGTTAAGAATTCTAGCTTGACCTAAATACAGAGTGCACGGAAACGAAACCCGAAAACATAACAGCTTAAAAAATGAAAGGCTCTACACGGTTGCTGGGAGTCGTCAAGAGCCACATCAAGATACGATGTGAAAGACTGCACAGGGTGTGAAATGAATCAAACAAAACATGTCATTTCCTTTCACAAAATACAGGAACTGAAATTCATAACACACATTTTGTGTATTTGATCTGCAAACACTGAAGCCAGTCTTTCTTCAATTTAGTAAATTACATAATGTAATTTCAGAGGAGGCAAACCCTGTTTTCATCTTAAAATCACAGGCTCATTGACTAAAGCTGTGAAACAGGACAACAGACGATGCCGTGTAAAAATAGCCACACATTCTTCTCTGAAATACAAGGCATTCTTGGAGGCTTACAGAGCAAAGAATTTTCTTTAACCTTTGGTAACCAGTGCCAGGCAGAAGCAACATTTTCTCTTACCAACAATGCAGTAAGTGGTGCAAGCGACACTGCTGCAACTATTATTTTCAATAGTGTGTAAACCCCATTACTTGCCAACTTATAAACACTCTTATCTTTTGCCAGGAGCTTTCACTCTCCAAGCGGTTTTCTGAATGCTCAGGCTTTCTCTTTGGTTTCAACTTTGGCCATATTGATTCTCTCAGTTCTGCAGTTTCTCTTTCAGACTCCCTGGTGTGAAGTGTTGTCCCAAGAGGAAGGACACCATAATGAAAAATAACTGAAGCAAAATACACAGTAAAATATACGTCAGCAAAACTGCAAGCAGATAGCATCAATCCAGCGAAATAGACCACACACAACACAGTTGATGGCCTTCATCCCTGAACCAATATACAAGAGAGAAACTCAATCATTTATTTCCCACAGCCAATCAACCCGTGACAAGCATCAGCCTACACTCTACTTTCACCAACGTGTTTTGGAAATAATTGTGTGTGAACATTTGACCATAATTTCCACCAGATAGACTGAGATAAGCTTTCAATGGGTATTCAAGTCATTTAAAGAAAATTTTGGACCAAATGGACTCAAAACATCTGCTGCCCCAAGAATGGGAGAGGAGAGCATTGAAATTGATGCTGGTTTATACTGCATATTCAGCAGCGAATACTTCCCTCACTCTAAACCCTGCTAAAACCCTTATCCCCACTTTTATCACCACCAGATTGGATTTTTCTAATGCACTCCTTGCTGGTCTCCCTACATCATCAACTTCAACTTATCCCAAAACTCTGTCACCACATTCTCGCTGTACCAAACTCTATATGTGCATCACCCCAGTCCTCACCACGGTCCTCTGGTTCCCTAGATCAGATTTCATGGTTCTCATCCACAAATCCCTCCACATTTGTCAAATCTCCTCCTACCCCCCACTCCTCTGCTTCCCTGCTCCCACTAGAACAGCAACACTAGTCAAGCTGCATTATAACGTTGCTGAGGAAGTTGATGTCAATGCTGCAATTTAACAGGGATACAAACAGCAGATAATTTACATTCATTCTAAATATAACTCCTCAAATCTACAGTATACATAGTACGATTTCTGGCACTGAGACATGCACAAACACAGTATTGTGTGAAACCAAGTTGAATTGTCAGTTATTACTGAGAATATATGGAGTACGTGCCAGACAGATCTGGATCAGACTGAATTGTCAGCAATTTCCTTGTTTGTATGTAGCCAAATCCTTATCATGTCTCAATGAGTTCCTGTTTTAGTCTGCAGGAATGCTGTAGGTATTTTTTACCCTTTATCCCTTTACAAGTCGGACTACATGAAAAACTCAAATAATTTGCACCAGCTCACTGCATGGAAAAGGAGCTACTTATCTTCCTTGTTTGAGTCCCCCACCTCAGGATCATCATGTCTGCAGAATTGCCCCCTCAGCCATTAATGTTCCTCCCAATAGTCGTTATATTACAACCCAGTGACCAATTGAGGCCCCGTTTCTCCTTCACCTGTGACACTTGCAAACATCAGCCTCAGTGTTAGGACAACTGCTTTTCTTCATTTGTATAAACGTTCTGGATTCTGGTATAAGGAACACAATTTTTAAGTCTGCAGGTGACACAAAAATAATAATAATAATCCTTGCATTTGATATAGAGCCTTAACACGTCTTTGAGACGTCTCAAAGTGCTTCCCAGGATATACTGGAAAGTGAACTGACTGTATATTTTGTAGGCAGCCACTTGCGCATAGCAGCGTCCCACAAACAATCCAGTCATGGATTGAAGTGACCAATTTATTATTATTTTTTGAAGCAATTATTACCTCCGGAAAAAGCGATACTCCAACTGACTAACAACCGGGTTCCTACTTACGGGTGGGTAAACAGAGGTACGTGGAGTAAGGAAACTTGGCCAACGTTTCGCCCAACTGGCAATCGAACCCAGGTCTCTTGCTTGCGAGGTGAGTGCGCTAACCATTGAGCTATAGGACTCCAAACAGGGAGAGCCGCTAACAATGAAAAAGATTATAATCAACTTCATGGGGACATTGATAGATGAATTGATTGGATGGAGAAATCGCAAATGAAATTTAATGCAGACAAATGTGAGATTATACATTCTGGGAGGAACAATAAGGAGAACAAATATATATTGGGATATGGAAT